ACTTTGCCTTTGAGCACAGAAGCAGACCCTGGGAATTTTCCGAATCCTTCTTTTCTTATAGGCTCCCCCCCCCCACACACACACACTCCTCTTCCTGGTCCTTAATGGAGATCTTGAACTGCAGAGCCGCCGTGTCAGAACTCAGATGGTTAACATTCACTTCTTGCTGTTTTATTGCATATTACTGTGCGCGCCTGAGCAGCGGGAGCAGATTCGGGCAATTACAATCAAGTCAGGGCACACGCCGCGGCGGAGCAACACGAGCATGATGAGGATACTGATGAGGCACTTATCGAAAACCCCACATCATCCACACTCATCAGCCACAACATGTCACCCCAAATGAGGCATCAGCTGCCTTCAAAAGGCTCATTGCACAGTGTTTACCGCTTCCCTCGGACCCACTTTTGATTTTACGGTCAGAACTGGGTTCAAACAGCAGCTGTCTGGCAAGGGCAGATCAGCGGCTCCTCGCCGCTTCCAGGGAGTCCTGGGGCTTTGTCTGGGGCGCACTGGGGAGCAGGGGCTGACAGGGCGAAGGGAAGCAGGAAGGCAGAGAAGTGTCCAGTTCCGTTTCTCTCAAAGAGGAATCCCTTTCCCAGAAGGGGCCCTTGATTAATTTCAAGCACTAGCACACAGTGGTGGCATAATGGGGTTGGGGGCAGGGAAGCAAAATAAGGAGCCTTTCAGGGATCTCCTTAAAATAGTAACGGGGTGGGTGGGACCTCTCACGCAGACACAAGTCCTTAGAAAGGTCAATCCCTCTGGAAAAGATAGATCCAGCCAGGAGAGTTGTTCAAGTGGAAAAAAAATTTAATTCTTTCATCATCAACTCATTCTTGGGTGGTTGTGAGGAGCATTCATTAGCCACGTTTAGGATGCCTTTATTCCAAAAACCCTGTTTTTCTGCTATAGGAGGAAGAAGATAGATTCCTAGTAATACTCCTTAAAATTACTCCTTGTTGGTTTGGTTTAATGCAACTTGTAGCGGAACACATTTGTTGGGGGGAATCTAATTGTTTACACTGCAAAAAGAATGAAAAGGATTTTCCATCTACTGTATTTTTCAAAGGACAGGTATGTCTTTTCTGGCCAGGGGAGGGCATCTTGCTGGTACTTTTTTTGCATGTATTTTTTGTGGTTGTCATTTATTTTAATCAATGTCATTTATTTTAAAACTAAATGTTCCTGATTATGTAAAAACTCATCCTATGGTAAAACATTCTGTTAGATGTAGACCACCTGATCCCATACCAGTAAAAGCAACACAGACTTTGACTTTTTCACCCTTTGGGAGCTTCTTCAGACCCTTCCCTTCACTCTCTAATTAGTGCTGTCTCAACCGCGTTCGCTGGATGTGCAGCAGTGAGAATGAACAGCAGCACATAACATGGGGCCTGGCACCAAGCAGGGTTAGTGCCACGTGCAGAGTGTTGTTCAGCAAGGGGCAGGGGAAGAGTAGGTAGGTTCAGTGACACAATATAGCCAGGAGTAGGCCACCAGAAAGAACCATCTTAGAAACAACTCTCTCACTGGTCTGAAATGCTCCTGTAGGTACTGGGTGTCAGGAACTCTATTCTTTTTCAATTTACTCACAATCATTGCTCTCTCTCTCTCTCTGTCTCTCTCTCTCTCTATATATATATGTTGGCATTAAGCTTTTAATATCTAAAAAAAGGGAGAAACAGAATAGACCCCTTCATTTGAAGAAAGTTAATTTTGAAAAATTAATTTACTTTTATGGTAATTCACTCTACCACTCTTTAGAAGTTAGCCAGAAATTTCAGAAAAGGGCTCCTTGAAAGGCACAGCTTCTATTTTGTCTCAGGGGCTGTGTTCACTTTCTTTCCTCCCCAGCCCCTTTCTCTTTCTAAGACTCCTGTCAGGTTCTGGGCCTGATATTTTGTTTTAGCCTTTTCTACCCAAACTCTTCTACAGTTTTTGGGATCTTTCCCAAGTTTAAACCCACAGGTTTGTACTACACACTTGGGTTCAAGGGAAACCCCATGACGTGCTCGCAGTTGTGGCCACAAGCCTCAGTGGTGCTCAGTTCTGTTAACTGCAGAGCAGTCAAGGCAAAAGGCATAAATGTGCTTTTGTCATGTTGGACTCCTGAGGCCCCAAGGCTTGATGCCTTAAGACCCTGTTCTATTGGATGATGGTCAGTGAATACCCAAGGGAAGAGGAAATATGAATGCAGAAAAGAAAATGAGCCACCACCATGGGGAGGGGAGAATTTTAGAAGATTAGATTAGAAGTTAACTCAAAAGCCTCAAATTCAGGCCAGGGATTTAGCTCAGTGGTTTCACCACCTGCTGTGTAAGGGCAAGGACCGGAGTTTGATCCGAGGTACCAAAAAAAAAAAAGTCTCAAATTCACCTTGGTCCTTCCAAGTTTTGTCTATGACTCATTTTCACTAAGTGATATCTCATTAACCTTTAACTTAGCATTTTCTTTTTAGAGCCCATTCAGTAGGTGACATCTATGATATATAGAGAAAAGTAATATTTAGAGTTCATCAGATTATAGAGAAGATTCATGGAGCGATTAGATGCATTTACTGGACTTTAGCAAATTTTAAAATATCAATAATGTTTGCCTAAATAGTTAGCGCTAAGGGTCACAAACATTACTCATAATTCTTTAGGAAATTTTAGTATCATTATGTTGCATATATGTTGACTTTTTTATACCTTGGATACACTTCAATATTTTGCTACTGATGGGGGTGGGGACAGGGGGAACTCTGTAAATTAAATGCTGCATAATAAATTCTAGGCAATTTTCCAAGCCAAGTGAAAAGGAATTATTCCTGGAATATCAGAGGAACTCACTGGTCAGATGGCTATTGAGTAACCTAGTTCTCAACAACTGGTTTAGGGATCTAGAGAAAAACAATTTTGCAGATCCTTGCCTAGAGCTTCAAAGAAGATCCATCCAGGCAAGAAAGTTTGCGTGTGTGTATACACACATGCAGCATGCACGTCTGGAGTGCGTGCGCGCGCGCGTGTGTGTGTGTGTGTGTGTGTGTGTGTGTGTGAGTGATCTCTTTGTGGGGTCATCATCTAATGCTCTTTGTGATGCACATTCTAAATTAGGCAAAAGGGATGCATCTTTCACATGCAGATCATGTTTGCATTAGAAGATCAATGAGAACACTTGTCAGTTTCAGAACATTTATGTGCTAGAAGTACTGTTAGCAGAAGAGCAGTTTAGATAAATTCAAGACTTTTTTGCTGATCACAAACATTAAGCTTCACACCTGAAGCCCTCAACCCCCTGCTGTGCTCTAATCCTAGCACCATTCACCCTTAGAGACTCAGAGTGCTGTGCCTCAGCTCTCAAACCTTTGATTGCCCTTAGTTTGAATGCCACCACCTGCAAAAATGCCTTTTTATTCCCTTTGAGCCTCTTGAGAAGGAAGTAAAAATGATAATTCATGACAAACATTAATTAATTGTTTACAAGATGATCTTTTCTTTTTCCAACTTCTTGTTCAGCAGGCACGTTGAACTGCAAGATCCCACTCGCGACGCCAGAATTTGTCAAGAGGCCCACATTGTTGTTTCTCACTGAGGCATAGGACCCACTACAGCCCATTGTTTCTTTAGCTCAAGTGGGCCTGTCTGGTTAGCATTGGAAGAATGGGGGTGACATGCGTGAGTTCCCAAGTATAAACGAACTACCAGTTCTAGGAAGGTCTGGGAGTTTAGCACTGATGCAAAGTAAATAAACATTTTTCACCACCTCTTGCTCCATGTGATTTTTTAAAGGTCAAGAGCTGCCATTACAGTATTTTAAAAGCTTCAAATTACATTTAAAGAAAGTATCACTAAACTCACAGAAACCTTATCAGAATTTAGGAACCTACTGTGACTGTTGGGTCCTTGAGTTTGTCATCACTGGAAGGTGAATTGTAAAAGGAATGCAGATGCCCTGTTGTTTGTGATATCCTGCAATTTCCTCAAGTGAATGCTGCTCAAGTTCTTCCAAATTGTCCTTCAAGTTATGGAAAATGTTGAGGTACTTCAATTTGAAAATTTCATAGAGTCCATATCACAGGTCAAACATTTAGGATAGACAAGAATAAGGCTCTGAGGGCCTTTCATGACAAACATGTTCAAAATACAGAATGGGTCATGATCCTGTGAAACCTCCAAAGTGTATTGTATGTATGTATGTTTGTGTGTGTGTGTGAGAGAGAGAGAACAAAGTAAAAGCCAGAGGGAGATTTCTTTTTTAAATTAAAGAATAAAAAGCTTACTCGAAGGAAATGTAGAGTAACAGTGGAAAGACTTCCTCAGCAACTGAGGTTTTCAGATTTCAAATTAGGAGCCCTTAGATCATGGCTGCTGAGCTAAAAATCAATTCTATATTTTCTGAGTTAATACTAAGGATTGCACTTAACAGACACAGAGACTAATAAGGTATGCAGAAGGAGTAAAGCAGCACGCACACACACACACACAAATTCAGGCCTTAGTTTTGGCCATGATCCAGCACAATGATGTTTCAACCAGATTTGAAAAAAAATCAATAACATCTGTGGTATAATGGTTAATTAAAGCAGCTCTTCAGCAGAGCTCAGGAGGAGAGGCTCGGCCTGAAATTCAGACAGCTGAAGCTTGATTATCAGGAAAGAATGCTTTTTTAGCTATGAGTGGATAGGCCAAAAGCTGCAATGTGCCGAAATGGGGAGAAAAATTGCTTTTATTTTAACTTTCTTTAAGTAATCAATACATGCTTTTCACCTGCATTAGGACACTGCTCAGATCCAAAGCCTGTTACTCCACTTCAGCATAAATTCTAGCTACTGTCTTTTGAACCTTAGGTTTAAAAAGGAGCCCCCATCTCCTGCAAAGCAAAAGAAAAAGAAGCAAAGGAAAAGAATATGCAGGTTTGGGTGGGTGTTCTTGAGACCAGTTAAAGCTTAGGCTCTAGGATGATTTGAAGGGTTTAATTCACAAGCTACACGCAAAGCTGACCTGACCTTGGGGTATACAGAGGTCACAGCCAAAGTAGTAAAACTGCACAAGAAAGCTATTAAAAATTCTCAAGGAAACTGAAGAGCAAGGTCAAATTTCCCACTCCTTTTTGTCTTCCTATTGTTTAAGGTAGTGTGCTAGGATGTTTTCTTTACCTTTTAAAGGACACAGGTCAAAGAATCATCAATATCTTCTGGCTATAGATGGCAAAGTCATCAGGTGACTGATGACTAAGAATAAATAACTGGTAACAACCCATCTGACTTCTTTTGGCACTTTGTTTTGGCTTCCACTTCTAGTATTTTTCTTTGATAGCAGAATCTGTGTCTTCATCATCATCATGGTCCAATTTCAAGCAGCAAACCTGAATTGCCCTCTCTGAGTTAAACCAGTTCCCAGGAGAATAGTGTACACAGCTAATCAGTTGGTCCTTCATTTTTTTCATTCAGTAAGTTTTTCTTCAGTGCCAAGCATGTGCTGGTTACTGTGCTGGGTAGTTCCTGCCCTGGGAAGTTCATAGCCTGTTTGAGGGTCATGTGCTTGTGAACAAACAATTGCAAATACAGTGGGGAAATAGTTTGAACAGTAATATATAGGGTGGCTATGAATTTTGAAGCTTCCTCTAAGTCAATTGCAATGAGAAAGAGCAAAGTGAGGGTTAGAGATTCGAGGGAGAATGACATTGGAGTAGAATTTGCAGGGCGAGGAAGAGTTCCCAGGAAGACACAGAAGAGCAAGGCAGAGAGGGCATTCAGAATTTGTATAAATTTGTGTAAATTATAAAATTAATCAGAAGTATGTATACAGAAGTGATACCAATGGCTTTTAAAATCTTCAGAATTTATATTTTAAGTTGTCTATTTTTGTTTTAAGGACTATCAGGATCAGAAATTCCAACACATCTTCCTTTATAGCTATCACAATCAAGCAGTTCATTTTTTCATCTGACCACATTCATTGGAGGGTGAAACTGATTGGGATCTTCTCTAAATTTAATGCAGGCAGCAACTCTGGCTTTTTTCAGAGGTCCAATTTTCATTCTGTGACTTTTCTTTTCATCTTCTTCTGGGTCCCTTTTGATGCCTTTTTCCACAATTTCAAAATGTGAAGTAAATTTAGAGGAGCCAAGGGGCTGGTCTGCTAGTATGCTGTATTACACTTTAGAAGGGCTGATAATGTCTAACACTTTTCATCCTTGACTTTCAGGTAAAATCTTGCCCTCCATTTATTGTGTGGTCTTGGTCATGTAAAATTAGGGTTCAGTTTCTCCATCTGAAAAATAGGCATAATACAATAACAGCCTCATAAGGTTGTTATGTGGCTTCACTGAGCTGATTTTTGTGAAGTGTTTACAACAGTGTCTGGCACAGAAGAATTGCTAAGTCAGTGATCATTAAATAAAACATAAGTCCTAGCACTTATTTAACACATGATTCTCCAACATAGCTTTTGTCATAATTTTGATTGTTCACTGTATTGCTTCAAATATGATCCACTAGTTGTGTTTTCCCATTTTTGATATAGATCAATTTTCAACTATCACTTTGAATATAATTTTTGAGCTTTAATATATCAATAACTCATAGCCAATTATTTACTTCTAATTTTTAATTCATTATCCATATTATAAGGAATGTTTTAAATTATGTTGCTAGGTTTTCTTTCTTAGTAAAAGAGTGATATTTGCTTTTAAATTTCTCTGATTTTTAAATTTTAAGGACTGGCTCTCCTATTCTTATATTTGTTTTCCTGATTTGGCCTTTATACTCTTCTTTGGTGCATTGGTATATTTTCAAATTTTTCAGCTGTGCATTTACTAAGCACCCATCTTTAATTTTTTTTGGAATAAGACAAGTAGAAGTAATTAAATAAAATTTAAACTGCAAATATTTTAAGAAATTACCAGTTTTGGCACCATGCTATCTGCTGGGAATATAGAGATATGATGTGTATTGGTTAGGATTTGTTTCAGTTGCTATTAACAAAAACTTAACTCTAGGACTTAAACTCACTCAGTTTTTTTCACTTGTGTAAAATAAGACCAAAGGTTGGTACAAGAAATGGGAGCTTGAAAAAGTCATCAGGGACCCTAGAGTCCTTCCTTCTCTCCTAGTTTGATTTTTATTCTGAAGGTCATTTCATAGTCCAAGATTGTTGCTGAAACATCAGCTGCTATATCTTATCTCAGGCAGTAGGGTGAAAGATGGACGTAAAAACAAAAATATATATGTACCTCTTTCCCTTAAGGAGTGTTCCCAGAATTCTCACTTAACTGTCCTGCTCACATCTTATTTGCCAGATGTAACTATGTTCCTAGCCGCAAAAAAGGTCTAGGAGTTATAAAAATTTACTGATTCATTCATTCAGCTATAAAGGCAGGATTTGTGTGCTGAAAAAGAAGGGGAAGGGATGAATGAATTCTAATGTTCAACTAGCAATCTCTGCTACAAAATGACTTATGGTTTAGAGTTCAGTGGTAATGATAGGCAAATAACTAAAATAGAGTGAAATAATTGCTAGTCAGTTTTACATAAAGTTATGGTACCCTCTTTTTTTTTTTTGTACCGGGGATCAAACTCGGGTCCTTGCGCATGCGCAGCAGGCGGCGAAACCACTGAGCTAAATCCCCGGCCCTTGGTATCCTCTTTTTATTTCCATGTATTGATATTATCACTCTTCTATAAAGATTTTCTCACCTCTTCTTAACTTAACGCTTCTACTTTCCCTTGCCTAGTCTTTGCCATCTCCCAGCTGAAGGCACAGTAGAATATGGCTTGATCTGATTCCCCAACGGGCAATCTCCATTGATTTTCAGGGACTTATGTAAGTGCACATAGCACCTACAAGTCATAAAGCCACTTGAGAATAGGGAATAGGCCTTGGTTATCTTGAAAAAGAGACTGTGCTTGGCTTAGGGAGTGCTCCGTTGTTGCTGGTAGGATGACTTCCTGTTCTTGAAAGTGTTCTTAAAGGACCATTCAGCTCTTGCAGACCTGTCAATGAAGAATATCCACCTCAGGTCATTTCTACCAACATAGAATGACTTTCCCAATCCTGGTCCCATAGTTTCACCAAGTAGCATATAACTCTAAACATACCCTTCAACCTCTCCGGACTGCATTCTCCTTATGTTTATGGACAAAAATGAAAGAGACAGTAATATTAATTTAATCTTTCTCTGAAGATCTTAAAATTAGGAATTGATTGTAGGTTTTTCTTTTCCATTTGTTAAGGAAAAGTTAGATAAATATACAATACAGATTTTTTTTTTTGCAGTAATTATAAAACCCTAGTGAAACCAAATAAAATGACAGATGTGAAAAATGTTTTGGAAAAGTTATTACATGATATGTTTATGTGTGTTTTTGTTTACATATATTTATATAAACATATAGGGCTATATACTATTTATTATGTTAATATTTTTCACTAGACTTTCCAAACAAAATAAAAGGCAGTAGCTTTTCTTCCTGTAGTTAGGGAAAAGTTGCTCACAGGAAACTTCTAGAGAATATTTCACTGCAGAATATAATGATAAGCACAATAAAGGAACTATATTGACCAGAGAGGTAGGTTACAAATGTTGAGGAAGACTTCAGTTGAAAAGTCTACCACCACATATGCTGAAGAATAGTTCATTCATATAGCAATGGCTATTTGTAGGAAATAATGTGAAAATGGTAAGGAGTATTAACCTAGAGTGAATTGAATTATATACCAAAGGTAGTATCAACATGTCACAAACTCTTGCTGCTTGAATGTTCAAACCTGGCAAGTCAAATAAACTCTGTGACTAAATTTAGCTCATTTCTAAATGAAATTCATTTGACTTTTATTGTCTGGATTCATTCTACTGGAGAAAATACTGAAACAAACTTCTGGCCATTTAGCTAGCAACATCATCAGCTAAGATTTACAGAGAATCACAAAAAATTTCAACCTTTTATCAGAGTAGAACTAATTGTAATGCCTAGTATTTTTCTTCTCAAACAGACTTTTAGGTACATTAACAAATTCAAATAACATTCAGCAATTAAACAGTTCCCATTTTACAGATAAGGACATACGACAAGATTTCTTAAGACATTGTATCCATAAGATGAAATGAAAGAAACTCATAGATTCCCAAAATATGTGAACAGTATATCTTTTATTTCTGTAATACTCTTTTACGATTGGACTAGGTAGTGTCAGGTTCTATAAAAAGTTTACATCACTTTAGAATCATCTAAATGTTCTGTTGGTCAGTATTAATCTCTTAAAGTATATGTTAGTAACTAATTGCATAAAATCTATACTTTGCTAAAATAAATCTTTAGTGATTGAGTCCTTTTTCACACTATAGGCTCTAACTTTTCTGTTAAAGTAACACTTTAAATTTTTCAAAGTCATTCCTGGAGAACCGTGATACCATTCCTTGTTATGATGTGCTTGTGTGCAGTAAGTGTAGCATTTTCAGCTACTTACTTCCACATTCTTTGTATGTTTCAATTTCCCAATCACAATTATAAAAAGTAATTTGTGCAATTTGATATTCATAGAGTTGTGCCAACCATTAATGGAAATATATGTCAAACACATAGATGTTTATTGACATAAGACTGCCATCTTACACAAATATGTCCATGTGCTTCTTATCCTTGAAACTAATGGATGTCATTATTTTTATGGTATTAAAAATGTAGCTAGCTTATATATAACTTAAATCTGGTACTAGTTTATTAATGCCTGAAATTGAGTCTAGGATGCCCATCTCTCACCTTTTTAAGCAAGTGGAAGTTTGAGAGTTTCAGAATGTAAAATTTGTTTGTAAAATTCATTGTCAAAATAAAATATTCATACCGGAAAAAAGTAAAATTTATATTGTCTCAAAAAGTCAGAGTGGGCCAGCGATTTAGCTCAGTGGTACCACCTCCTGCCTCAAAAGCGCAAGGTCCTGAGTTCAATCCCTGGTATCAAAAAAAAAAAAAAAAAAAAAGAATAATTTCCTACTTATATTCACATGAATACTTTCTTGCCTCACAAGGAATGAATTTGAAAACTCAAGTAACTCCATTTCAAATGTCTTCTACGTAGTATACTCTGATATATCCACTCCTAACAACCCTAAGGACAGAGAAAAGAAAAATTCACACTGATAAGATGAGCAATTCGTTCCCAGCATCTTGGAAGATTTATTTTTAAATTAACTACAAGACTGAGGAAGCTGCATGAAAAAAAATAATAATCAGCCTTTGAAATGTCTCAAAAGAGAGAATAGCCTCTTCTCACTTGTGGCTAACATTTCTGATTGGCTTATACAACAGCTATTCCTTCCCCTAAGTCCAAGAAAGACTTGTTTTCCAGACATACCAAGGTAGCTCCCTGCTCCTTTGTCCTGCCTAAACAAGGTGATGGTCCACTTGAGTAATACACAATGCAGAACCAAGTTGTCCTTCATATGTGAAGCTACTAGGAAGTCTTAGATCAAAAGTCTATTGCAGTGCTGCTCTAAATAAATCCAAAATTGCATAAGCATGCTATGCCTAGAATCATCTTTATCAATGAGAAATCCAGTATGAATTCCATCAATGACTTCTATTACCAAATAAAGATATTTTTTAGAGGTAAAAAAATTCTAATGTCAAAATTTCTATTGAAGAACCTAGTCAACATGATACCTAGGCTAAAAGCAGGAAATACGAATTCAGTTCACAGGTCTGAACCTCCCCTTAAATCAAAACTTCATGCAAGAGGTTTATGTGGAGTTCCCACGTTTTGGATCCACTTTGCTGAGCTGTCCCCTGGCTGGCAGGGCAGAGTGGGATACAGGGGGTCCCTCTCCACCAGAAGACCATATTTCAAGCTCCTCCTTACCAGCCGAATTAGCTGGTAAGCACAGTAGATACAGTGCATAAGGTCCATAATACTGTTGGAAATCACAAAATTGTTAATTTTAATTTCTTTTAAAAGTAGGGAAAATAATATACTAATGAGTCCATGCTGGTTTGTATTTATAGTAATGTCAATGTAGTCATAACAGTTTTAATTTTTGTGATTTTTTTAAGTGGAGGAAGATGCCCACAAAGGTGAAAGTGTCTAAGGCTCATGAAAGCCGTAATATGGGCCTGGCCTAGCAGGCTAAACAAGCCCTAGTCAGTTAGGCAAAAGTGCAGCTGGTCAAGTTTAGCCTGGTTTCCAAACTCACCAATCTTCTTCCTTCACTTAATAAGGCCCCTAGATGTATAGCTGGAGTTTCAGTCCTACTCTCACTCCAAACACCAGTTCCTCTTTCAGTCCCACAGAGGGCTGGACCCTGAATAATACAGCTCTGATGAGGAGAAATTGAAGGATACTAACAATTCAGTGCTCAACTACCCTTTGAAATGGTTTAGTACTACAATTTAATGCCAAATTCTTTCTATAGATGATGGCATTGTTATATAAGACTGGTATTGAGGACAAAGATTAGGTCTTGGGACATGTTAGAACTTTATATAGAACATACATGATAAACATTAGATGGCTGGCTGGCTTTTTACATGGATGGGTGGGTGGGTAGATGATGGATGGATGGATGGATGGATAGATGGATGGATGAACAGATACTAAAATCAGAAGCCATCTCAAGTTTCCTAAACCGTTAAAGATCTAAGGCAGTGTCAGCAAACTTTTTCTGAGCTACATAGTAAATATTTTGGATTTTCTGGGCTATATGATCACAGCTGCAACTATTCAATGTGGATGTTGTAGTGTGAAGAAACCATGGGCAATACATAAATGAATGAATGTTGCTGTGTTCCTACTGAAACTTGAATTTCATATAACTTTCATATGTTACAGAGTTTCATTTTTTGGATTTTTTTTGCCATTTAAAAATGAAAGAAACATTCTTAGCTAACAGGCTATATGAGAAAAGTTGGTGAATCAGAATTGGTCACAGGCTATAGTTTATAGTTTACTGACCTTTGACTTATTCTCTACAATGGGCCTCACAAATAGACTAGCTCCAAATGGAAAGGCTACTGTTGCTACTGAAGGAGAATCATTGGAGATGCTTTTTCATCACTTTAACAGATTTTCATATGTCAACCAAGGGTCCTCACTATTTGGACTGCTGAATCAAGCTCCAAAATTTCTTCATACCAAGGTCAAAACTTACTTCCTCCATAATTCTGAGAGTCTATCTCTTTTCACAAAGCTTTTAGCCTTTATCATTCCAAGAATCCTGATCTATCCAGGCCAAATAGATTTGACATTTTACTATCAGTATAAATTCAACCTATATAAAATGAAATTCTTTCCCTTTTCTTCAGTGTGGGCATCCCATATTTTCTAAGCTATGCAGGTTTAAAACTTCAGGCATCTTTGAATTTCCCTTCTCTACCACTTAGATTTGATTTTCCCTTCAAACTACAAATTTGGCACAGTCCAGAGTTCTAGGTTCAACTCTTGCCATAAGTAGGCCAGATGATCTCTGAGGAGACATTGAATTAAGACTCACTCTAAAGATACTTTATGAATTTGACAAAGGACTGAAGCTTGGTGAACTAAAAGTCTTCAGGAAACATGGCATATACTTACATAGACCTTAAGGAAATAAAAGAATCTAAATTGGTGGCTGCTGAATGACATACATACCTAGGATGGTCAGCCTGATTTCTTTTCTTTCTCTTCTCCAATGCCTTTTGTCATTCCAATTAGATCTTGTCATTATCTATGATGTTTAAGTAGAAAGCCACTTAAAAAAATGTAGCCATGACTTTTGGCACTAGTTATTCACTAAACACCAAGGTTTAAGAATTTCTCTTTTTCAGTGAAAAGCCACATACAGTTCTCTTGATTTGTGGCCTATCTAAAAAGAAAGAGAATGGTCTGACGGCAAAAGAAGGTAATTTAACCAGAATTCCTGCGCTCTGTACTTGAGCCATAAACAGTCTTCATAAGGGCCCTGTGCACTTTTAAACTTTAATAACTCAGGTTGTGCGTGTTAGAGAAACAATCTAAACGGCACTCAAAAGTAAATGTATTAAAGTTTAGGACAACTACATTACACAATTGCACACAATATATACTCATTTCAGATCCTGTGACAAATGAAATATGGCCAGTAGAATTGAAGTTCATGACAGCTCTAAGAAGAAAATTGAATTTGCCTTTAAATTCCATTTACAGTTTACTGTCATGTCTACCTCATATGCTTTTGAAGTTAAGTTTAAAAATGGCACAGAGACTTTATAAAGATCCTATACTTGAATTCAATGATAAGTATAGTTAGAGAGAACATCATACCATCTCTTAGCCAAGATAATATACCTGCTTACTTTGCTTTTAAAACAGCCTCAGAAATAGAAAGTATAGTGAGTCTTCATGGTTAGTACAACTCAGTAAACAAGAATAAAACTGAGTATCTAAAATACAAGTCTATTTCTGGGCTTTGCCAATAGCTCACTGAATGATTCAGGAAAATACAGTAGTTTTCTCCTGTACTTCAGAGTTTTTTATCCTGTGCTAAAATAGGGTTACCTGGGCCACACATGGTTTTTATGAAAGAAGAGAGAGAGAATGAGGAAAGATAGGACCTTCTGTATTTTCCCAGTTAAAAGTCTGTTCCAGTGTGTCTCAACCTAAGCGGGGGAAAAACCACATAAAACAAATGGAGTGTTAACTATTCTCTGCTTGTTTCCAAATAGGAGATTGCAAAATCAAAGTCCCCACATCTACTAAAAAGGAATCTGGGTGTATACATTTGAAAGGAAAGACAAGAAGGAGGTTTCTCTTGAAGTCGTGCTGAACACGGACAGCCAAGAACGGGGACAGGATTTCACAATTCACAGAGTGCTTTAGCTGGTCTTCATGTACTTTGCAAAGTGATTCATTTCCTGTGTTTGGTCAAGATAGGGAAACTTTGAGCACATACAAATTTGATGTGGCTTTTGATTAGAACACTTTATCAGATAAGATAAAGATATCATGATAGGGATGGAGAACATTTTAATGCTTAAAATCAAGGCAAGCTGGAGAAAATGGTATAATCCAAAGTTGTCCATATTCCTAACCTACCTTTTTTGGGAAGTCTTTTTTCTTCCTCATTACTTTCCTGATTTCCTGAAGAGGCACCAAGTGTTCTACTCTGCTACAGCCTTCTTCATATGGGAATCTGATAAGTATCTTCACACTGAATTGAGCATTACTATTAACTCCCCCAGTGGTACTGCATTTTAACAGAAGCAAGTCTCAAGAAGTAAACCTCTAATTGAATCATTTCAGACAACCCTAGAGTTAGGGAAGTATGTAGGGAAGCGAATGCGAAGGAGTCCGGAAGTGTCTGAAGTTCCTGAAATTCTAGAGTGGGGAGCCCTTTTCCTAGGAATCTCCACACCAGTAGCCAGGCTTTACTTGAAGTCTGCTTTCAGTTGCCTGTGGGGTTTTAGAGATGGTCTGGAAATGCAAATTTTGGGGCAATGAATGGGCTTTAATATTTGGAAAAATGAGATGATCTTACACTCATGAAAGTTTTTTTGTTTGTTTGTTTTTGTTTTTCTTTAAAGTACTCAGCTAAGACTGTAGCAACCTGAATAGTTCCAGAAATAGCTAACATTTAAATTGCTGTTGATTATAGAATAGGCAGTAGATTTGGCCTCTTAATTCCGAGGCTGAAACAGGAGGGGCCCTTGCCTTAGGAAAGACAGGAATTTTCTCCACTTAATAAAACTTAGTTAAACATTGAAATGTTTTTTATCATACTAGTGCTTTTGCATTCATGTGCTTTGCAAAGTGATTTGTTTCCTATATTTTTATAATTTTGAAGGCAAGAAATTTTAAAAGTCATCTAACTTGGTCCTACTTTTGAAAGATTTTGCTGAAGGTTCTCAAGCTTTGATATAGAATCTCAGTTCAAAGTAAAGACTTTGTACTATTGGAATATCTTGTTGCCTCCGTCATATTTTGGTTTTTCATTAGGAGCTTTCCAAAAATGCAGTGTGATCTGTTGTACTGATATTTGATTTGTGGTCATAGGTGTATACCATCATTTTAAAATCTATTGGTTGGTCCATTTTAGATGCACATTTTAGATGCAGCCCCTTTATGCACAAGACAAGTAGGCAGACTATCTCTGACAGAAGTCCCCGTCAAAATGGAGCATCAATCAAAAGTACCAAAGCCAGGATGTAAAGCGCTAAACCTGCCGTGGGAGCATGACAGGCCCTGCAGGTTCCCTTTCAAAGGATCTCTGAGCCCACGGATTAGACAAGATGAGCAAGGCTCACCCTCCCAAGCTGAAAAACTTCATGGACAAGAAATTATCATTGAAATTAAATGGTGGCAGACATGTCCAAGGAATATTGCGAGGGTTTGATCCCTTTATGAATCTTGTGATAGATGAATGTGTGGAGATGGCAACTCATGGGCAGCAGAACAATATTGGAATGGTGGTAATACGAGGAAATAGTATCACCATGTTGGAAGCCTTGGAACGAGTTTAAATAGCTGCTCAGCAGAGAAATGCATGCCCCTCTTCAAAGCGCTAGTTTCACTATGACCAAACATTGAGTCATACACATTTTCATATTAAGTTTTTTGTTTAAAAAAAAAAAAGTACCAAAGCCAGAACTCTTTCTGCAAGTTCTCTGAGGCTGTTTTGGAAACACCAAATGTATAATCTTCAGTGCATAAAGTCTTACCCTCAAACTGTTTTCAGAGTACCAAAGACAATATTTGCAGCATTCAGGATTTTCTATAACTTTGAATAATTCAAGGTGCCAATTAGCTTTTTGGTTTTTTAAAAAATATATTCCAACTGACAAGTTTAAGAGATTCTTTGGATTTGATTAAGAATAATTGGAGAAATAATCTAGAAAATTCTGCTCTTGTCTATGTTCCACCAAAATCACTGGTGTCACCCATTCTAGCCCTGGTTCTCTTACCCAGTTTATCTAAACTTTAGTTTCCTTCTCTACAATAAATACATGAAATTAAAACAACAACAGAGACAATAGTACTAATGTGTGTCATTGAAGATAAATTCTAATTGGCAGAAAAAACCCCTACCTGCAAATGCCCATACCCACCGAAACATAGCTGTGGATAGGAGAATCTTCCACAGAGCAAGGATGAAGGCAGCCCATCACAGTGCCTGCTACTGACACTCCTTCCAGATAGAAGGTTGAGAAGGAAACCAAAGCTGGAAAAACACACTTGAACTAATTTTATGCATATCTTTAAGGAAATATTTACAGACACCAGGCTCCTTGGTTCTCAAACTAATGCAGTACCACACGTGGGTGAAGAAAGCAGTCAGTTCCCAGGTGGCTCTGGACAATCTCACTACCTTTAATTTTGCAGCATCCAAGAAAGCCCCTGACATTCTCCCATGTCTCAGGGTCATCAGAGAATTGGAAGAGATAATGAATGTTGAAGTGCTGTACTACTAAAATATGTTAAAAATATGAGGGAGCATATATCACTCCATCATAAGTATAGCACAGTAAGATATTAAAACAACTCTGATTTGCTGTCAAGGATGGCTTTCCTATTACATATTGAATCAGGTTATGTATATGCAAGTATGGAAACTGTTGGGTTAATATATTTATTTTCATGGAGCAGTACAGAATTTGGAATAGATTTTAAAAACACAAGAAGTCTTTTCATTTCCATGACAATTTGTTTCACATACTGAGTCTTAGAATTTGAGACTGCTCTAAAATTCCCTATATTTTGTTTAAACTTTCTCTAAAATATTCTTACCTGTGGTCTTCTAACCTGTATAGGGGTGCTTGGAAAACCTACCTACCACTAGGAGGTCCATTCTACCTGTACCTAGTTCCAAGATCAGAAAGTGTTCCTCTGTGTTTCCTTGAAACTAGTTTTTAAATCTTTTTTTTTTTTTTTTTACAGTACTGGGGATCGAACTCAGGACCTTGCGCTTTCAAGGCAGGTGCAATGCCACTGAGCTAAATCCCTGGCCCTATTTTTTAAATCTTATAGGATAAAAATAAATGTTTTCTGGTAATAATAGTCTCACTTATTGTAGAAAATTTAGGAAACAAAGAAAAATATTTAAAAATTTAAAATATTATACATTATATAATAATGAAGATAGCCAATGGCATTTCTCTATTTTTGTCTTTCACACAATCTCCAAACTACACTATATATGCAACATTCTACCCTGTTTAATAAAAAGTCTGTCAAGAAATCTGAAGGTATTTCTTTGAAAACATGATTTTCCAAACACATTATTTTTAAAAAAATGAACCCTAGAGTAAAGTGAATTTTATGTTTAAAACTATATATATACCACCTAGATTCTACCATTAATACTTTACCTGTGTTTGCTTCATCAATATCTAGTCAGCTATCTACCCCCAGCCATCTATTAATCCATCATATCTTTTTCATACATATCAAACATTGCATACATCAGTTTGTTTTCTTGTGAATATATCAGCATTCATATTTTTAACTCAAGTTCAAAATCAACACTCTTTAAGCAAAGTTTATATACAGTGTATTGCAAAAATCTTAAGGGTATATCCCCTAAGTTTTGATGTGATACTTATATAACTCAGCTTCTTATCAAGATATATAACATTACCATCAGGCACAGAAAGATGCTTATGTTCCTTACAATAGATTGAGCTTGCCTAGTCTTGAACTTCATATC